CAAGACCGAAACGCAAAATGCATCGATAAGAAAATCGATAAAGAATTAACAAAGTCGACAAAGAATGAAATCTGATCAACTGCGTAATCAAATCAGAGTAACGATGAAAAGCTAAAGGATTTAAACGATTCAGTGGGATATTACCCTCAACAGATTAACGTCTGCTATGACCTAGATAGTTAAGATGTTGCCTCAAGCACACATCAAGGTTCTACTGTGATACTCGCATGTCTGTCAAATGTTTGAAATTTTCTCAGTATATGCAACATTTAGTTTGCCATTTTATGCTTGTTATAAATAAAATTTCTTGATGAAAACAGCACGACTTTTTGGGTCTCATGTTATTTCTCAGTTTTGGTAATCGTCAAGGCTTACTTTCCTTAATGACCTAAGCTAAGCGTAGTAAGGGCAAAGCTACTTCGTTCTTGCACCCACAGCGTACCCAGCGCAGCAGCCACAAGCAGCTAAGAGCAGCGCAGACATCAGCGATTCGCCAACACCCGCTATACATCCATCGTCAGGTATATCTCAAGCCTTGTGTGTATAGTTACATAGTTCAACAATGTGTATACTATATGTGCATCGTCGAGTTCCGGCAGCGCTGGATATACAGAGTCCGCGCAGCGCGCTTAGATATACTTCATGCACTGCAGAGTAGTAGTCGCATAAAAGGGAACTACAAAGACCCACAGTACTTGTAAACTATGCGCTTGGTCATGTTATTAAATCACATAGACATTCAATTTTTCGAATGATATTCGAAAATCGAATGATATTCGAGAGTCGAATGATATTCGATATTCGAATGAAGTGGTAAATATCGCGACTTCTCTTTCGCGACTTTCAAAAAGCGTTTGATACGATCGAGTTCACTGCATTCTGGGATGCTCTTCGTTACTTTGACGTTGACAACGATTTCAATGATACAGCTCCTGTACCAAGCAGCAGCGTCAATCTAACTTGGTCACATCAGTGCTTCATTTAAGATACAGAGAGGAGTCCGTCAAGGAGACGCTCTGTCACCAATCTTTTTCATTACCTGTCTTCAATTGGCACTTGAATCGATCTAATGGGATGAAGATGGGTATTATACTTGGGGAAATTCGTAATTTTTTTCGAATATTCGAAAATCGAATATATTAAAAAATCGAAAATTTCGAATATTCGACTATCGAATAACATTCAAAAATCGAAAATTTCGAATATTCGATTATCGAATAATATTCGAAAATCGAAGATTTCGAATATTCGACTATCGAATAAGATTCGAAAATTGAAAATTTCGAATATTCGAATATCGAATATCATTCGACTTTCGAATATCATTCGATTTTCGAATATCATTCGAAAAATTGAATGTCTATGTGATATAATAACATGACCAAGCGCATAGTTTACAAGTACTGTGGGTCTTTGTAGTTCCCTTTTATGCGTCTACTACTCTGCAGTGCATGAAGTATATCTCAGCGCGCTGCGCGGACTCTGTATATCCAACGCTGCCGGAACTCGACGATGCACATATAGTATACACATTGTTGAACTATGTAAATGCTATACACACAACTTTCAAATCGGCACTCATGGCAGTGAGCAATCTTCTTCTCACTGGCAGTGCGATAAGCTAGACCGCTGCTGGAAATACTATACAATGACTGGCTCTACCATATCCCTGTTCTCGCACTACAGCAAACACCGAACTTCTTGTGCAGACGATTTCGACGATGTTTTTCTACTAGAAATAAACTACCGGTTACGGAGTCCCTTGCCATATCATCGCTTTCTACATTTGGTCCATTTAGGCATTGAGTGGGTAAGAAAGGTGCGCGTTAGTTCAGATATTCAGAGTTAAGTCAGAGTAACTGTGAGTTTCGACCGACTACCGACCCTGCCTGAGGCCTAGTGCACGTTGTTCTTCATTCGCATTCGGAAAAGATGATAGATGTGAACGTGAACGTGAAGATGTTTCTGATATCGTCGGAACGTTACTTCCACTCGACATCGTAAATTGAGGGCGTATTCAAGATAATGCAATAGTGACCGGAAGGACTAGTGTTTGCTCAAGAAGTTCGGTGTTTGCTGTAGTGCGAGAACAGGGATATGGTAGAGCCAGTCATTGTATAGTATTTCCAGCAGCGGTCTAGCTTATCGCACTGCCAGTGAGAAGAAGATTGCTCACTGCCATGAGTGCCGATTTGAAAGTTGTGTGTATAGCATTTACATAGTTCAACAATGTGTATACTATATGTGCATCGTCGAGTTCCGGCAGCGTTGGATATACAGAGTCCGCGCAGCGCGCTGAGATATACTTCATGCACTGCAGAGTAGTAGACGCATAAAAGGGAACTACAAAGACCCACAGTACTTGTAAACTATGCGCTTGGTCATGTTATTATATCACATAGACATTCAATTTTTCGAATGATATTCGAAAATCGAATGATATTCGAAAGTCGAATGATATTCGATATTCGAATATTCGAAATTTTCAATTTTCGAATCTTATTCGATAGTCGAATATTCGAAATCTTCGATTTTCGAATATTATTCGATAATCGAATATTCGAAATTTTCGATTTTTGAATGTTATTCGATAGTCGAATATTCGAAATTTTCGATTTTTTAATATATTCGATTTTCGAATATTCGAAAAAAATTACGAATTTCCCCAAGTATAATACCCATCTTCATCCCATTAGATCGATTCAAGTGCCAATTGAAGACAGGTAATGAAAAAGATTGGTGACAGAGCGTCTCCTTGACGGACTCCTCTCTGTATCTTAAATGAAGCACTGATGTGACCAAGTTAGATTGACGCTGCTGCTTGGTACAGGAGCTGTATCATTGAAATCGTTGTCAACGTCAAAGTAACGAAGAGCATCCCAGAATGCAGTGAACTCGATCGTATCAAACGCTTTTTGAAAGTCGCGAAAGAGAAGTCGCGATATTTACCACTTCATTCGAATATCGAATATCATTCGACTCTCGAATATCATTCGATTTTCGAATATCATTCGAAAAATTGAATGTCTATGTGATTTAATAACATGACCAAGCGCATAGTTTACAAGTACTGTGGGTCTTTGTAGTTCCCTTTTATGCGACTACTACTCTGCAGTGCATGAAGTATATCTAAGCGCGCTGCGCGGACTCTGTATATCCAGCGCTGCCGGAACTCGACGATGCACATATAGTATACACATTGTTGAACTATGTAACTATACACACAAGGCTTGAGATATACCTGACGATGGATGTATAGCGGGTGTTGGCGAATCGCTGATGTCTGCGCTGCTCTTAGCTGCTTGTGGCTGCTGCGCTGGGTACGCTGTGGGTGCAAGAACGAAGTAGCTTTGCCCTTACTACGCTTAGCTTAGGTCATTAAGGAAAGTAAGCCTTGACGATTACCAAAACTGAGAAATAACATGAGACCCAAAAAGTCGTGCTGTTTTCATCAAGAAATTTTATTTATAACAAGCATAAAATGGCAAACTAAATGTTGCATATACTGAGAAAATTTCAAACATTTGACAGACATGCGAGTATCACAGTAGAACCTTGATGTGTGCTTGAGGCAACATCTTAACTATCTAGGTCATAGCAGACGTTAATCTGTTGAGGGTAATATCCCACTGAATCGTTTAAATCCTTTAGCTTTTCATCGTTACTCTGATTTGATTACGCAGTTGATCAGATTTCATTCTTTGTCGACTTTGTTAATTCTTTATCGATTTTCTTATCGATGCATTTTGCGTTTCGGTCTTGAAAATTTGTCATAGTTCATCAGTATCGAAACTGCTCTAGAAATGCTTCAGAAGTTCAGAAATATGTTAAAAAGGGGCAAACCCGAGCAAAATCAGCGTTAGCAGCTCGAAGCAGCTGAGAGAAGCTCACAAGAAGTGAGCTTCATATCGCATAGCAGCGAGGAGCAGCAACGAGCAGCTGGGAGCAGCAGGAAGCATCAAGAAGCAGCGCAGCATCGCTAGCTATAGCGGGTCTGTTTCGCGTTGGCTGCAGCAGCTAGGAGCAGCAACGTCGCCTGGCGTCAATCGA